ATTTAAAATTTGAAGTCAGAACTTGGAAGATTGGAACTGAATTGAGTACTTTATTAAATTGTATGTTTTTGTTCTCGTTTGTTGATTATAATATGCTTTTTCATAAAACCTATTAAAACATATGATTTTTATGTATAAATAGCTCATTTAGGTCTTATATTTAGTGATATTGATGTTTATTTATGATTTATTAGAGTATTTATAGGATTTTCATATGTTTTTATGTGTATTCAAAGCGTATCCCAATACATCTCTTAAATTTACTTTTCTTAAACACATAACATTTATGTCTTTCTGATGCTTTGAACCCTGGATAAAACCAAGGCATTGGGTTTGTGATGGCCCTGGCCGGGGCCCAGTCTAGTCCCTAAACATAGTATTCCTTTTGGAAGAAGATGGATACAATAAGGTTGGGGGCCAGGGCAGGAGGGAGAATTGGGAGCGCCTCTCTCGCCCTGCTCAAACGCTTTCCCCGGCCAAGGCGGCAATGAAGGCATTATATAGAAGTGGGTTCTGGCCCCGACCGGGAGACAAGCTGGTGCTATATATGATTTGATAAAAAGATGGGATGGGACCGCTGCGTGGCCAAACTGGCTATAAAGTTTGAGACGTAGAACAACCCACCACCACCCCTCCACCCATTCTACGTACCAAAACCAAACCGCTCCATGTGAATTGTACGGGTAGCTGAGTCCTTCTCAACCAGACACTGTGGTCCTAGGTATCAGAGTTCGTGGTCTGTATGTCTGATTAGCTAAACTGAACTTCATCCAACCAAATAAATTGCAATCAATTAGATTTAACAGAAATTCAAATAGGGGGTATATCTAACTAAGAATCCAGAAGATTCAAATTCTATTTGATATCCGACCGTATATATATATATATATATATTCAAATTCGATCCATATACTTATTAGGATTAGGGGTGTGTAAAAAAACCGAAAAATCAAACTGAAAATTTGGTTAACTAAATCGGTTGGTTCACTATTTAAAAAAAAAAATCGAAAGTATCAGTTTGGTTTCAGTTAACCAAAATAGAAAATTGACGATTAACTGAAACAACCGATGTACATAAATTTATATATATTTTTTATGTATATTTATATTATATTTTCTATACATAATAAATTAATAAATATGCATTATATATAATATATATTTACAATATATAATATATTATTTATTATTTAAAATATAATATTATATATATTTCTAATATTTTATTATATATTTAAATATTTTTTTCTACAATAAAAATTGTAAATAATATAAAACCGACAGTTAACCAAACCGGTCAATCAGTTAATCAATCGGCTTCGGTTCGGTTTCGATTATCGATTTTCCAAAAACCAATAACCTCAATTTGATTTCAAAAATTAGCTCATTGTTCGGTTAACCAAACCGTGGGCACCCATAATTACGATATCCTATATGATTGGAATGTCAATAAATCTGTACAAAAATTAGATATAAAACAGTTAAAAAATTAGGTTTATCAAGTCCAAATTCCATTTAATTCTAAAAGAATTTTAATACTAAAAAATGTTGTTTGTACATATATAGTCGGATTGGATTCCAATGAATTGAATGAAGTAATATCCAAATTCAGATCAATTCATATAAATGGATCATATTTTCAAATCCGATTCTGTCTTCATTAAATTCATATTCAAATCGTCTGCTGATCACAACACATTGGTGGTCACATTCATCCAGCCGCATATACGGAATATCAATTGTATTGTGGTCACCGATATTCTCAATGCACAGTTGGAGCCTGGATGAGCATAGCCAGCAATGTGTTGTAGTCAGCATATCCGAATTCATCCAAATCCAACTTAAATGAATCAGATTAAATCGAAAGGACACCAGTACGTGGCTTTTAGGGCTATACAACTGGCAATATGAAATAGATGGTGCGGTGTTGAATTTGCCCAACCCTAGCCATTCTTATGTGTAAACATCTTATATATATATATATATATATATATATAATAAAAAATGGATATTCTCTCCGTGCAGCAAATGGAATCTAGTCGTGCGAGTAGATTCCCACGTGAGAGCATCCGTTTTTTATTAATTACTGTTATTATATAATTAGTGATAATTACAGTAATTACTGATTATTCCAGTAATTACAGTAATTAATGGATAATTAATTATATAATTAGTGATTAATTATATAATCAGTAATTAATGGAATCTACTGATTATTACAGTAATTAATTACTGTAATTTACTAATTACTGATTATTACATAAATTTAATAAATATATAATTAATATTACTGTTATTATAAATATTCTTAATAACTAGATATTTACTTTAAAATTATAAATATTGTTATTAAAAAATACTGTTAATAAATTACTGATTATTACAGTAATTTAATAAATATATAATTAGTGATTATAATTAATAATTGCTGTTATTATAAATATTGTTATAAATAAATATTTACTTTAAATTAAAATTATAAATATTGTTATTAATAAATACTGTTAATAAATTTAGTAATTATTGTTATATTAAAACTAGTAAAAAATGTTATTAAAATTAGTGTTATTGATTATTTAATAAAATATTACAATTACTGACTATTACTGATTAATAAATACTATTAATAAATTTAGTAATTATTGTTATATTAAAACTAATTAAAAATGTTATTGATTATCTAATAAAATATTATAATTGCTGACTATTACTGATAAATACTATTAATTTAATTTAATTTTGGTAATTATTAATTTAATGAATATTGTTAATAAATCTTATTCATAAATTTAATATTTACTGTTATATTAAAAATAACTAAATAATATTATTAAAACTATCATTAATGATTATTTAATTAAATAGTATAATTACTCACTATTATTGATAAATGTTGTTAATAACGTTCTGACAATTGAGGGTTCGACCGTCCGGTTCGAACAGATGGCCCGTTCTGACAATAAAAATTACAATAAAAAAATTACAAAACCGTTCTGGTCACCGGTTTTTGAATCAACGGTTCAATTATCCGGATCAAACAGACGATCTGATCTGACAACAAAAATTATAGGCAAAAAATTGAGTTTGTGAGGTCCATTAAGTAGTATCATACGTGTTATGTCATTCAAGCATGTGACTCATACAACTCAAAAACAAAACTGTTTTGGCCATTGGTTTTTTGGTCGACGGTTCGATTGTCTAGTTGGAATGGATGTTCCATTCTAACAACAAAAATTATAGGCAAAAAATTGAGTATGTGAGGTCCATTAAGCAGTATCATACATGTTATGTCATTCAAGCGTGTGACTCATATGACCCGAAAATAGAACCATTCTGGCCACCAATTTTTGGGTTGATAGTTTGACTGTCTAGTTCGAACGGACGGCCCGTTTCTAACAACAAAAATAAAAAAATAAAAAATAAAAAATGGCCAAAAACCATCGAACAGGTCAATGGGTTAACGATTTGACCACTCGGGTCAATAGATTGTTGATCGATTCAACGGTTTTTAGCAAGGGGCCGAGATTGGGGTAAAACAAAACTGGTTGCTTGGACGGTTCCCAATTAAATAAATAAAAACACAGATGACCCGTCTGACAAAAAAAATTATAGGCTAAATTTTGAGTGTTTAAGGTCCATTAGGTAATATCATACGTGTTATGTCATTCGAGCTTATGACTCATACGACTTGAAAACGAAACAATTCTGGCCACCGGTTTTTGGGTTGATGGTTCGACTGTTTAGTTTGAATGGATGGCCCGCTCTAACAACAAAATTAAAAAAAAAAAAAATGACCAAAAACCATTAAATGGGTCAATGGTTCGACCGTTTGGGTCAATGGGTCGTTGAATAATTCAACAAATTTTGGGCAATGACCGAGATTAGGATAAAATGGAACCAGTTGTCTGGATGGTTCCCAATTAAAAAAAACTGGCCAAAAACCATTAAATAGCTCAACAAGTCGACGATTCAATCGCTCGGGTCAATAAGTCATTGACCAATTTTTTTTTTTAAAGAACATATCATAAATATATGTCAAATTTATTTTATATATTATACAATATAAAATATTAAAATATGTATTATGGGTTCTGGGCCAGGCTTGGGGCAAAGTGGACAAATACTACCCTCACCCCATCCCCAATCCCCAATCATCAAAGTTTAGAGTATACCCACCCCGAACCTGATCGACAGTCAAAAAAACCACCCAATCAGGGTGGGGCAGATTAGGTTGTCATTTCTATGTATGTATGCATGTGAAAAGTTAATATTAACATGACAATTTCAATGGTTATAAAATCCTTCAAATAAACAAAGAAAAACAAGAGTTTTATGTATTTAATGATACTTAATTCATTTTCTTTTCTAAAATAGATTGCTAAACCCAAACGAAAATAGAAAATTAAAATATGTGCAACAAAACCCTCAAGTCCAAGCTCAACCTAAGTGGTTTTAGGGTTTAGTTAGCACTTTAGCTAAGGCTAGACTACATGGGCTGGGCCGGGTTTGGAATAGGGTCAATTCTTAAGGTTGGGTTTGATTTGGCACTCGATAGGATACGAAGGATAGATAGGGGTAGCCGCCGGGTAGGACGGGAGAAGTTTGTGTTGGGCCTGCGGGTCTGTCAAGTTAATGCTCTCTGCCATTGGGCTAAGCTGGCCAAACCCAAACGTACTAGACAGCTTATGTAGTAATGGGAATTGGGCCGTAAACAAGATTAATGGCCCAGGGTGAGCATTTGGATCTGGAAATAATGCCATGCCTCGGCCCATCAATCAGCGAGACCTTCACTGTCAAGTGTCACCCGTTGACGATCCATCCATTCAAATCAGATGGTATCTATCATCCAACTGTAGGAAATCTCCCCCAAGTGATAGAGAACTCATACACCGTTGGATCAATTGCATGGAGCTGGATGCGCGACACGTATTTAATAGATCAATGGTGAAGAAAACAGACACATGGTAAATGGTCATATCTCAATTTTGGCGGGTGAAGAGCAGCCATTTGTTTTGGGCCTTCGAACGGCCACCGCTTGTTCCATTAGAGAAGAAAGGAGGATAGATAGAATTAAGACTCACAGTCCATAGCAGACGCAGAGAAAAGGAGAAGCCAAATCAGAGAGAGAGAGAGAGAGAGATGGTAATGAAGATAGCAGCAGCAGAAGCATTTGGAGGGGGAACTCTCCTATGCTCGTACCGATTCGGAATCCGTGACCGTCGATACCTGATCTCTCTGGATTGGCCTCCGACAACAACAACAACAACAACAACAGCAGCAGCAGCAATTCGTCTTCCTACCCATTTAAGGACGAGAAGCTTCCTCGACCATGCTTCTGCCTCTTTGAAGCCCCATCAGCCTAGACTTGTATTTGTCGCCAGAGCGGTTGATTCAACCCAGCCTTCCTCGGCAGCTGCGTCCGATAAGGCAGTTGTACCCGATAACGAGTTCTCGCTTGCTAAGGTCTCTCTTTCAATCCCACATGTAAATAGCTCAATTAAATTCCATTGAATTTGTTTAGTCTTGGGCTCTTGATATGTTATCAAGTTTGGACATTGAAGCAATTAAAACTTAGAAGCATCATTAAAGAGGACTTGGCCTGTTGATATTCTATTTGACTGGGCATTTGTGTATGAAAGTAGTAAGCGGCACCTGATACTGGATTTCGGCTTTTTAACAACACTGGGTTTTTAGTTGTGGTGATGAATTAAAAGACTATATGCGTAGTTCTTTGCGGCTTTCTTACCATTTTAGGAGTTTTGTATTTATTTACTATTCATACATATTTCAGAAAAAAAAAGAGCCCTAGTGGTAGTACAGTAGTATGCATCTGCTGAAAACATCGTATATATTCACATTTTAAACTATTGGTTCGTAATAGTCTCACGTTTTTTCTTTTATTTATTTATTTTTTACTTGATAAAATAGTGATGGGTGTTTGATGACATGATAATCGGTGCTGCAAATAGAACTTTGACAAAACTTATTTTTTTTTCTATAGGTTAGGTTTGTTTCATTCAATTATGCTGTGAAAGGGGAATAACCGTTTAGTGTTGGAATTATTCGTACATCAGACGACACAACTCTTTTTGGATTTCTTTTGGAATTATCCCAAATGAAAGCATTGTGTAGTTTTTCATTTTTTCATGCATATGTAACCCTTCCCTTTTTGGCTTCTGTTTTTTTGCTTTGTAATCCTCATCCCAGTATTTCTCCTTATGTACTCTTTATTGGCTTACATTATTTTTCAGAGAATTTCTTGGTAATTTCTTACATAAATGATTGTAAATTAAGTGATAGAATTTGAAATCTCTGTGAAATCTCACTTTCTTTTGTTTTAATTAAGGGATAAAGATACTTTGATCATGACAGTGAATATTAAGTCCATCTCCGTCAACTTTTCCATGCACTTCAAAAACATTTGTGCTCCTTACTCTGTTAATTGATGTTGCAGATTTGTCAATGTTGCAGGTCTCATTTGGTGTTATTGGACTAGCTTTTGGAATTGCACTTCTTTCGTAAGTTGTTATTTTACTTTTGTCATTTCGTTTCCTTTTGCTTATCTAGATACACTAAACATTGTTTAAGCATTTATATATTGGTTCACATGCAATATTTCAGATATGGATTTGGAGCATATTTCAATATTCTCCCCGGTTCTGAGTGGTCAGCATTAATGCTAACATATGGCTTTCCTCTTGCAATAATTGGTATGGCTCTTAAGGTAAAATTCTTTTTCTCCCCATTTTTGGAATTATATGTTGAGAATCACAGAAACAACATATGCTGTAGGTTTGAAATTTTGTGGTTAATCATTTTTTGTTCTCTTTGGAAGATGTATTCTTTGAAATGCTTTACAGTGAACTCCAAGTTGTATATAGTTATATCTTCTTATTAATTTTTGCATCATGGACATCATTAGGGTAGCTACATTTCTTGTAATAGATGAATATATGGTCAATGATATCGTACTAGATTGCAGTCATCTATAATATTCTATGTTGTCCATATTTTCGTAAATATTAATGTTGAGACCCAAACACTCCTTCCAGAACCCACTTGGGGAGTGGAGCAGGCCACCACCCATCAGCCATTCACAAGGAGACAAAGAAGACAGGCGACAGAGCCCCAGAATTAGTTACACTCAAAGTTGGTTACTCTACCACCAGAGGATATTCCATCCATGTTATCTGCCAGAGTTAGTTACCCAGAAACCAGAGGATATTCCCTCTGATATTACACCTGTAGGCCAGCTATATAAGGCCATCATCATATAATGAAAGCAATGAATGATTCTCCTTTAATTTTCTTCTCCCTGAGTCCAGTTTATTCCTTCCTTCCCTTCTCTTTTTCTCTCCATCTTCTGTTTCAGGAGGTCAAGCCTCCCTCGAAGAGGCTTCCGAGGTGAGCGGAAACCCACCAATTAATCTATGAAAATATTTGTTAATCTTTTTAAATTATAAAAGGATACTCTTTTTGAATTATTATATTATTATAAAGTGATAAAAAATTATACTTTTAAAATGATTACACCATTTTAAGATGGTTTCTTCCTCTACCTAGAATAAATTAGTATATAGTACCAACTCTTGATATTTTAGTTATAAATACTATTTTATTAGTCTTGTTTAAAATAAAAGTTATGGTTTACATATGAATATTCTTGTTATGCTATTATGTTATTCATCCTTTCCTAAGAGTTTAAAATATTGAAATGTTGATTATACATTATTAAAGTATGTAAATTTAAAAATATTTCATAAAGGAAAATATGAAGGAAAAAGTCATCTATAATGCTATTCTTGAAAAAAATAATGGGTTTAAAGAGAAAAGAATCATTAAAACAAATTATTTGGATGATATGTAAATTGAAAACCTTGCATTAATATTATCAACAAAGTAAAGGTCGTTAAAAATAATATAAAAGACAAAATACTGGTGAATATATTCAGTAATACTTCATGTAAACAGTCATGGAAATTGAAATATTTCGTGCAAATATTAGAAAACGTTTGAACATTTTAAATCATGCTAGTTGGCATGGCATAAAGGTCATATGGCACGTGTAATGTGTTCTAGAAGACAATATGAAAAAATGTTTCTTAACAGTAGAATAGAACTTCTCTCTATTACATTTATGTAGCCTTTATCTATTTTGCAGTATGCAGAACTCAAACCAGTGCCATGCATAAGCTATTCAGATTCTCAAAAGTTGAGGGAAGCATGTGCTACTCCAATTCTGAAACAGGTAATATAAAGTTTATCTTATTCTAATTATGAACCTCTATTGAATGGTCTGCAAAATTTAATCTTGTTTAAATCGTAAAGAGTGTTGTATCAAAGCAAATTCTGAATCATATCTTAAATATTGAGATTGTTTCCGCTTTCTGGAAATTTGTTAAAAGCAATTAAGAATATGTGTACAAAAGACTTAAAATATAGAAAGTAAATTTATTTGAATTTCAATTGATATCCACCATTTAAGTAAACAATAAAACAAAATTTGCTACTTGTACACTATAAGCACGATATGATATAATTAACTTTGGTTTCAAAGTCAATTGCCAATGTATAATCCTTCTTTAACCTGCATATGATGGAAAATAAATGTAAAAGAGTCTCTGATCTCCGAACAGGTTTTAACTCAAAAGTCTCATTCTAGTAAGGGTTTTAAAGCAAAAGCCCACTGAAAAAAAAAAAATCGATAAAGAGGTAAAAATATACAGAACTGGTTCACAATCAAATTGATGTGAATTGTAAGATTTTGACAACTACACTTTTATTACTCCTTGTTAAATTATACTTTGTTACTATTTGTTTCTTTTAGAAAATTGTGTGCACCTTTGATCTATTTTCATAGCTTGGGAAATCAAAAAATGTGTCTAGGAACCACATTAAGTTTAATAATTTTGTATATGGTCAATATATTCTTTCTGCAACACCCCTGTTTGGATTTGATTTAGAGTTGGAATGGTTGAATGGTTCAATTCAGCAAAATTAGATTGAATTGTGTCACAATGGTATTTAACAATCAGCTTAGCCATTGTACTCGGTCATGGAATTGTTGAGTAATTCATCTGTTATTGAAGTAGATGTGAGCTATCCAGAAGTCTTTCATGTCAAGATTAGGGTTGAAGAAATAAGGAAGAGAAGAGGAAAGAGATGGGAGTTATAGCCTTAAGGGGAGGGCATATACATTCATATGTTGGCTTAAATATTCACGAAGTGGGATTTAGAGAAAATAGCAGGTTTTCAATATGCACAAGGTAGGATTTGGAGGGCCACTGAACATAGGAGAAATAACAATAAATATGAGCAAGTTCCAACAGAGGAAGCTAGGTTTAAATAAACTAGAGAGAAATAGGACATGCATGGACCTATGGGGTAAGAGTTTCCTGATTGTCAGCCAGTATAGTAAAAATCGGAAAAGCTATAGACTGGGATGGGTTTTAGGGTTTAAATAGAAAGTAATAAATCATGTATATATTTTATGTTTTTATATCTGTGAAGTTTCAGAGTGCTTTTAAGGTTTCCATAAGGAGAAGAAAAAACAGATATAGATGAATTAGTGGCTTTCCTAATGAAAAGGGGAGTGAGAGGTATAAATATGGAACAAGAGCAAGAATTATAGAAAATAATGCCCAACAGAAAATAGTGTTAACAATATATGAAAAGAAGAGGTAAAAAAGTGAAGTAACTTGTTTTTTTTTTTTTTTTTTTTTTTTTTTTTTTTTAAGAAGGGAATGTAAACTGTGTTTTTTTCTTTATCTTTATCTAGAATAAATCTCGAGTTGACTTCTCAAGAGGAAAATCCACACTGGTCAAGGATTCATAATTTTTGCCTTAAATTTCTTTAGAAGCCTTAAAGCTGTCCTTGCTTTCAAACTTTGGTTAAGTAGATATAAAGAGAATGGAAATATCTTAAAGATTCCTAAACATGAATTTAGTACCTTATTTTTTTTATCAACTGTACTAAAAATCACTAGTTTGAAGTAACTCCATATCTTAATTTTATGTACACGGCTTTAACTGTCATTATGCCCATTGTAAGATAAACTTTACAGAAAAACAATTCCTCTCTTTTACTCAAAATGGGAACTCAGTCCAAGACTAATGAGACGCATAGTAGATATGTAGTTGTATCTAGTATTCTAGTCCACTGTTTAGGCAGCATTGCACTTGGTCTTGTAAAGCCCTCTCATGCCTGTACTCAAACCCCACTGTCCCACACAAATGTTTTTTTTATCTTCCTTATTGGTTTTTCAAATTATGTTCCCCTCCTTCTGGTCTAGATCTCAATTCTCATAATGAGTTTGCTGCAAAGTTACTTCCACTAGCAGGTTGGATTCATGTTTTTGAAAGCTTCTTGTTATGTTATAATTTAATTTCGTGTTCAATGTGTTGAATGTTTCCCTAGGTCAGAAATGATGTTACAAGATTTCGTTATGGAGATGAACAACATTTGGATGAGGCCTTAAAACGAATTTTCCAATATGGTCAGGTATGCTTGCTAATGGTATTTTTTACCCCTTTTTTCTTGTTTTATTTTCTTATCCTATAATTAAGTGTGATTGCAAGTTCTAGACATTCCAGGTCCTAATAGTGTACATTTTACTTGTATCAGCTGGTTCCTGCTTCTATGTTTGCCTGCCCTTTTTAGCACCTTCAATGATCTTCAAAGCAAAATTTCTTATGATGCTGTTATGCTTTTCCTACATTGCAAAAAGGAAAATGAACAATTGATGCAGGAGTAAACAAGAAAATTTGAATTTTCTAAATTTTATATGTATTATTAGGGGTATCTTCATCATTTTAGAAATTGTGTGTGGAATCCAGCCTTTCTATCTGATTTGCCTAGTTATTGTTTAGTTGTTTTAAAATGTCAGTCATTGGTTAAGTAGTTTAGGAGTTCTTTAGTTTTACTTATTTTGAACTATGAATGGCGGAATTGTAACTTTTTGTTTTCTTAGTTTGGGAAGAAGTTTGGCTGATTCTAGAGTGTCTATAGATATGTGTAAATGATTTACTTAAGAAAATTATTAAGATTACAAAAAAAAATTCATAAGACATGCTAAACATGATGTGTAAGAAAATATTTCCTTGAAATATCAAATTATAGAACAGAATTCTATGTCAATGTCACTAAGTATCAAGAATTGATATTTTTATCTTATAGAAATACTTATTTGCAATTTATGAGATAAAAGATCACTTTGAATATTTTGTTTGATTTATTCTAACAGCACTCATTATGCTTTTTGACTTTAGGGTGGAGGAATTCCACGGAGAAGTGCACCAATTCTACAAATGATTCGAGAAGAAGTATGCTTTTATCACTTTGATTTATTATCACTTGTTTAAGTTAGTTTTTGCTTTTCTTTTATTAAATAAAGGCCTATTTACATTTATAATAGTCTAAATTGAACAATAGGGAAATCTTAACCCTGCTGTTAAATCTATTAAGTGTTAGCCCCAACATTCAACACTTTAAAAAGAACCTAATGTTTCTTTCCTTCTTTCTACCTATTCAAAGCATATATTTTTACCCAAAAAATATTCGAATGATAACAATGACATCTAAGAATAAATATAATAAAAACAGTAATGATAATGGAACACCAACCTTGGGGAAAAGGATAATTGGTTATGGCACTGAGTTGACTCTCCTGAATGGATGACGTGCTCACTGAATCAGCTTCCAACATGCCACAGATTCTTCAGGGATGATTTTACATATTTTTCTTTTTTCCCGTTGCTTATTTTACATAAATGAACATCTAATGCACATGATGAAACATCATCCTTTCCTACAGAACATTATTAGGTAATAAAGACAAACTTTGATTTATTTGCACCCATTTTTATGGGATGATCTTGGAACTCACAAAATATGGCTTCTTTAATTTAGTATTCGATGTATCCCCTACTACATGATTTTGCATCCTTCCAAGTCAGACGTCTGTACACATTTTAGGAATCCTACTCTTGTATTTATGTCTATGAACAACTGCCTCTGAATGGGACCCTAACCTAAGTTGGTAATGTAATATGTAGAGTTCTCAAGGTTACTTGGTGAAACATCCTTTTCAACACTATCCAAAATATATGCAGTTCATATGATGTTAATTACTTAATTGAGTGCGTATTGGGCTACCAATATTGCTATTTTTCTAATTTCTCTTCACCTCAACAAGTTATTCTTTCTCTTTATTTATTTATTTATTTTTTGTTAATGTTGCAACCACTGAAAATTAAGCACATTTTTTATGTTCCTGGTTAAGTGCACAAAGAGCTTTCACTGGAGTTCAGCTTTTTCCTTTTTTGCAAGCTGGACCTTTCTTTATCTGATTTCTCAGATCTTTTGTAAATTCCCAATGTAAAGGTCCTCATTGTACACGGCCCGGTGTATTTGGTTTCCTTTTGCAATACAATACATTACCTTCTTCAAAATAAAAAAGTTAAGCACATTTTACTGGGTAATAAAGGTATTTTGTGTGGGAAGGTGGTAATGCATGTTGTAATGTGGTGCATCTGGGAGGAACAGAAAAAGAGAAATCTTCTGTTAAACAATTTGTGGATGAGAGCCAACAAGCTGTTTAGGGGTACTTGTTTTGGGGATATGGAGAGAAAAATCTATTTCAGATCCTGAACTCTTCTTGTTTAACTCCTGTTAGACCCAGCCTTCCTCAGTTCCTCCTCAGTTCCTTCAAGACCTCAGGTTGAATTTATCCTTAAGTTTGATGGTAGCTGTAGAAGTTTGATGAACCACAGGGGTCAGGCTAAGATTGGGGGTTGAATTGTTAAATCCAATGGCGACCTGATCTGGGCCTTCAGTGGGCCAATTGATGTGATAGATGCTGCAGAAGCAGAAATCTGTACATTGTTGGTAGGTCTGAGGTCTGCAGTGGCTCTCAGACTTACAGAGTTGGTAGTGGAAGGGAACCCCAAAAATGTGATATGCTGGATGAAGAACTTAAAGGAAGCTCCTTGGAGATTTAACTGCATATTTAATGAGATTAAAGAAACCTTGTCTTTTATGACATTTATGACTTGTTAATAAATTTTCTTTTTATTGATTACCAAAAAAATGACTTTTATGACATTATTTTAAATGGACTCCTAGAGAGCTGAAGTGTAGCCAACAGTTTGGTTAAATTTATTAACAAGTGTACCAACTCCTCAATGCCTCTGTAAATTCCAGGGCGGTCTTTTTTGGTTTTGGTTTTTGTGGTTTTGTGCTTGTACATCTCCTCATGTACATCCTCTCCTCTTTTTTGGCAATGAAAGTTACCCTTTTCTCAAAAAAAAAGCACATTTTCCTGCTGCCCAATGGATGTAACCTTAGAAGTGAAGAAATAAGTACCAAAAAAGCTACAAGGACATATCTTTTGCATGTCAAAGATATTTTTATATGTTTATCATGCCATAAGCATTCCTAGGCTACCACTTTCTTACTTTACCATTGAATTCTTCCCAGGTCACTGAAGATGGAAAGTATTGTTTAGTTCTGGTATTTGAGGCAAAAACGTTACAGCTATCAGATTTTGAACAAAGACAGGTGAAGAAAATATTTTATATTTGCAAACTGTACATTCAGTGTTGTCAGTTTGCCTTCATTAAGGAATGAGGAATCATACTAAGACATAATTATCAAAAAACAAGGGAATCATGCTTATTTATCAACAAGATCCTATGCTGGAAACTTGTATGTTGTTGGGAAGGCGTAACATAGTTCTTTTTTCTTGGCAAGTAGAATCTTTTCTTGCCCTATCATCTTAAATTTTAATAATTGACCAGAAAATAGAGATATATATTAATTTTCCTATAATGACTTTTCAGGCAAAATTTGCATCATTCTTTGGACCCGGAATCACAGCAGAAATTGGTGAGTATGACTTGTGAAATGTGTTGATGTACAAAGTCAAGTCAAGCTGATCCAGCTAAGCTCAGGTTCACCATTCACCAACTAATGCTCGAGTTGGGCTTGTGACAAGCCTTAGGTGATGTGCTTAGAGGTGTAAAGTGGGCCGTGCCGCCCTCCCCAGTGAAAAATTTGGGGGTCGGACCAGCACGGCCCACGGCCCAGACTTGTGCGGGCCTGTGCCATGCCGCGGGCCGAGCTTTGGGCCAAGTCGGGCTGTGCATCGGGCCAAAGCTATTTATTTAAAAAAATTACAAAAAACTTAAAATTTTAATTTTATATGAATTGTGTATACAATTTCTTATATATACAATAATTAAATAAATTAGTATAATAAAATTAGAATTATTTATTTTATTAATATATTATATACTATATTATTATATAATTATAATTTATATAATATTATATAATATATATAAATAATATATATGGGCCGGGCTGCGGGCTGGGCTGTGCCGGTCCGTGGACCTAAAACCCCAGGCACAGCACTGCCCGCATGGTCGTGCCGGGCCTGGCACAGCCTGATTTACACCTCTAGATGTGCTAGGTCTAGGCATATGAAGTATTTGAGATGCTCAGGCTCAGCTAAGGTGTAGTAACCAAATTTTAAGAGGCGAGATGGGAAAACATTATAAATGTGATGGTAACAGAATTTATAATCAATTATATATTATAAAATTTGATGGTAAAGGAATTTAATGCACTATTTACTTGGAGGGAAAACTGTGTAAAATATAAGATTGTTTTCTGTAATACTATTGAATGGAATAGAGTACTGTTACTCAAAAAAACAGGATGCAGCCTTTTCCCTTTTTTGATTAAAGTATTTAGATATATTTAGTACTATCACAAGGAGCTGAGGTCAAACTTAACTAAGCTTAGGGAGGCTGATTTCAAGATCATTTAGCTAACACAAAGTTAGGTTAATGTTTGGGCCGGCTTGCAAACTTGAAAATTGAGCTCAGGCTCTGTCACGCGAGCCTTCATAAACAAGCAAATATAGCCAAGTGGCCTAACTTGAAATGCTGAGAACGGTTAATATAGTTTTGGATTTTTTTTTGTGCGTTTAAATAATACTTTGTCGATATGTGGATGCAGTGAAGGGCGAGAATGATCTATATGAAGTCCGTCTTATTTCCAACACAACATTATAAAAGGGTATGATAATTTTGTCTTACATTTGCTGTTTGAATTGCTCCTTCCTGAACATGTCCACTTAGTTTACCTTGTAAAACCATATGATGTTAAAATTGGTAGGCATTATGTTAGTACCTCTTTAAAAATCCTTAAAATGTTCAACATTGATTGAGTAGAGCATTAAGCATTGATTTCTTTCCCTTTTTGTCAGAAATATTGTCCATTCTTGCCAAGCATTCTTTAGGTAATAACTTGTGAATGTTTGGGTGCAGGGAAGGACAATAATGGCCTCCGAAGTTTGGACTCTCTTCAACGCAATATCATGGCTGAACCGCTGAAGCATATAATTATTTCTTTCCACTTTCCACTTGGGTTACTCCATGATTTTGTCACTCATACTGTGGTTGTAAAATGTAAGGTTGTATAATGTATAAATTTAGTTCCACAGGTACTATGATACCAAATCTGTAAGAAGCCCTATAATGTTTATTTGGAAAAAAAATGGGTTCAAGGTAGACAACGAAGAGCAATTTTTCTCTTCGTTTCGTTAGTGTTCATCAGCAAGATTTCTTCTATTTTTTCTTTGATCAGCAGAAACAAGCATCCTTGCATGTATTTTTTGTCAATTGCATAGACTGGTGAAATGGTAGGTGGTTAACTATGACCATCTAGTGAGTGGGTATGGCAGAAGCCATCTTTTGCCTTGATATTTGTGCGTGGCAAAAGAAGGGGAATAATTATGTCAATAAGCGTGAACTACTGCTTTGTGGATGGTTTGGCCTGAGATTAGGGGTGCACCTTGGGCGGGCCCAGCCCGAGCTTGATCGGCCCAACCTAAAATTTTATACAAACTGGGTTTGGATTTTTGGTTTTTGGGCCAGATTTGGGCTCAAGAAGTTGGGCTTTTAAATTTTTCGGGCAAGGCCCAGGCCTAGTCATTATGTAGTCTGAACTCGGCCTGATTCCAGCCCAATTATACACATTCGTACATACATGTGTATATATATATATATATAGTGGTTTTATTGGCCAACCCGGGCCCTAGCCCAATCCGTATCAAATTACATTGCAGGCTGGGCTCAGGTTGGGAAGACCGGGCTTGACTTCAGGCTCAGGCCTTAAGCCCAAACTTTAAGATTGGGCCCGGGTTGAGCATAAACCCAATAAAACCTGCCCAATTTGCACCCCCCACCTGAGATGGATACGCTTCACCACAGTTAGGGTATCATGGCACATTGGATTTGTACCAGGGAAGAGTTCAGGGACTACAAAACATAGATCATTATTAGTTGGTTCTATATGTCTAGATCCTTGACAAGCAGATGGGTTGTATAAATGGCTAATTTTTATTCAATGCTAGAGGTAAATGTGGATTCTACGAATCCAAGACGTTCAATCTTTGAATTTGATGGATGATTTCCTGGTAATTTGAGCAGCTCAGAAGCTGAAAGTGCATTCAAAAGAGCAAGGGAGTGACCATTCTTGTATTCTCGAGTCCAATGGGTCATGGGACGTTTCTGAGGCTGATGCATTCTCATGGATTTTTCTAATAAATATGGATAAAATAAAACTCGGAATAAATAAATAAATGGGTCTTAACTTTGATGATGGTCTCAGTCTCACCTAACAAAAGCCTCACCAAGAAGTCTAGCTTACCCGATTAAGCAAACTATGTCCAGGATTTAATTGGCCAGAATAAGATCACCAAGTATCCTGGTTCCTGAGTTATCATCTATCCAAGTTGTAGAGTCCACTACATACAAAAGTTAGAGCACGAAAGAGAGAATTCTCTGTTTGCAGTGCAAATCTAAACCAGATGTACATTTTGCACCTGGTTCAGTTTTGCATCCATTTGTTTGCAACCATGATTTGCGCTCTTATATGATACCAAGTTTGTACTGTCTCATTTGCACTCATGGCAACGCAAATTTTATATTCCAAAAACTGATGCAGAAGTTGCACCACCTTCCTCCTACCTTAATTCTCTCTTACATAAAGTGGAAACCACATCATCTTGCTTCCAACACTAAAAGAAATAACCCCCTTACCTCCATTATCTTTCATATAAGATGAGGGCAACTGTACTTTACTTCAAATCTGAAGCAAAAGTAAACCAGAATTTGCGTTCAACATATTTGTGCTCAGGCATTTACACAGTGTGAATGAAGTTTGCACTGCAAACAAATTGAGCATTGAAGTACAAAAGTTATTACAGCATGAAAGAGGAACAAGAATCTAATTTGCATTTGAATTGGAATTTGTTTTTCCACCAAAAAAAATGAAAAATTTGATTCAATTAGGACAATATTCTGAATGAAGCCCAAAGCACCAAGTGATCTGAAAACCCACCAATTTGATCTTCAGTTATACAGCTTAGTATCGTGTGCCAACATCCATATTTACATATAAAAAATTGGGAGGTCAACTTTTTGCAAGGCAAGTTGGTTAGAAAAATGTAACAGTAGAAGCATACACCATTCGTCATGTCCTTTATACCTCTTCACTGTCTGCTTCATGACAAACCAGAAAATACAAAACAGTGTTACTATAAGAAATCAGATTTCAACGTTAACCAGACAGTAGAATTCTATAAATCAGGCATCTCCTTCTTGGATGATCAGAAAGTTTATCCCAATCACAATACAAAAACAGACCACTCTTTCTCAGTGACTGAATATTCACAAATTAGAAGGAAAATATTCCCAACTTCAAAACATAAAGGCATGATACTGAAAAGTAAAAATATCTACCCAAATGTAAAAACAAGGAAATGCCATATACATCAAGTTGGAAGAAAACCGGTGCTGTGGGCTTCAAATTGACAATTGGATTAGTGGGATTTCTTTGTAACTTGGGCCAGGTTAGCATGAACCTAACTTCATATTTGTATGAATAAATACTATTATAAATATTTTTTATGTAAGTACATACATACATACATACATACATATTTTATATGTATGTCAACAATTTAAGTTTAAAGACCTCAACCCTTGAGTCCAAGAAATAAGAAATAGAGAAGTCGAGCCAACCGGAACCCAACCCGAAATTTTTGGGTTGGGATATTGGGTTAGGGTTAGGGTTGGGGGTTCAACAGCTTGGGTTGACCGCAACCCAACTTAACCCAGCCCAAGTTGCACCCCTAATTTTCACCAGTTAGCATGCCTTTCTTTTACCTTCAACACCATATTCTTCTATTGTTGGCTGCTTTCCCATCATAGATTTTCTACATCATAATTCAACTTTTAGTTTTAGTTTTTATCTCCCTGTACTGATTTGCCATTTATCAGCAATATTCTACTCTAAAGTAGAGCAGTTCATCAGAAGAAAGAGTTTTCCACAAGGTTTTACACATAATTATTAGCCATTTTTTATTTCTTGGTGACATTCAAATCATCATCATCAGCCATGCCCTATCCCAACTATGGCTCGGGTACATGAATACTGTTTCGCCACTCCGTTCTATTTAAAACCATATCCACTGTTAAATTATCAGTGCTTAAATCATTTCTACCCCTAGCTCTTCTAGCCCCTTTCCACTTGTAACAAATCACTTCTAATTGAAGCTGTTGGTGGTCTTATATGCATGTAACCAAACCATCTCAAGATTCTTAACCTACTCTCTTTTTATCACTTATTGGAGCTACTTCTAAGTTTCTACGGATGGCTTCATTCCTGATCCTATCCTTTCTAGTTTTTCCACTCATCCACCTTAGGATTTGCATTTCTACCACTCATTTTCTGAACATATTGTTTTCTTGACTGCCCAACACTCTGCTCCATACAACATAGCTGGCCTTACAACTGTTTTATATAATTTTTTCCTTTTAATCTAAGTGGTATTCTCCTATCACACAAAAGTCCATATGCATCCCTCCATTTTTCCCAACCTGCTCTAATTCTCTGGGTGACATCATCCTCAATCTCTCCCTTGTTATGAACTATTGAACCAAGGTACTCTTGGTGACGCTCAAATAGGCATTAAAAATGTACTTTCCATTTTAAGAAGTTCATACAACTAACAGATAAAAAGTAGTGTAACAAGTCATAGGTGCCTTTGTTTTAGAAAGGGTGAGGATTTTATTTATAAAAGGATAACAGGCTGTTGAGGGAGAGATTTCTTCCACAGCCAAGTACAACAGCATTAAGTTAATACTGTGCTACAGGAACTCCTTTGAAAAAGACAATTTCTATTTATCTAGCAAAATTAAATATTGTAACTAAGTTCTAAAAAGATAAAAGCTGGGAAAGATCCATTTATATAGCCATCTTGTAAAAGAAATGATCATGTACTACCTGCAACTACAAGAGATGGTGAATCATCTAAAATCTCATGCTTTGGCTCGGCTTCACCACTGCCAGGTGGAAATACATTAGAACTCGTCTTTGTCCTAAGCCTTTTGCATCTACAACCAAATAAGAAAAAAAATGTATTAAAGATCCAACTGCAACAAAATACCAGGAAAAAAAAAGATACAAAAATATAGAATCCAACATTTCTTGTCTTCTAGCATCAAGAGCATTAAGTCTATCTATATCCATAACAACTGAAGCATGTTTATCTAGTTTTATTAATCATAATATGAGATTTTGTAGCTTGAAGACATTCTACAATTTAATGTATATATGGACTTGTAAAAATCACCACAGTAAATGAACTCTCACAGAAACATTTGGTGAAAATTATCACATCTCAGATTCTGACCATCATAAGGTTTCTACTAGGGGTGCAACTTGGGTGTGCTCAGGTTGGGGCTTCGTTAAAATTTGAATGAGCCCAGCCCAAAACCTGCGCCTGATGCAGTGAATCTTCAATCAGGTACCCAAGTTGCACTCCTATTCTACACAGTTCATAACTTTTTTGATAATAAAAGAAAATTGTTATTGAAACAAAGAAGAGTATAATTGGAAGGTGATGATAAATCACCAACAGTAAACCATACTCAAAAAAGCCTAACCCTTATATCCAACCGAAACACCATTCACTGTCTACTTGAAGACCTTTCTACTCCATTTTTTGGCAACTTAACAAGCTACAAAAACACACTTCAAGATATAACTCAAATCTCCTACCCATACTAATGACTAAAAACTAGTTGCATTTAAAGCCAACAACACTCTACAAACCTTATAGCAACCAATAACACTCCAGGGTTCCTCAGGCGGTCAGGCCCTACCACCTCACCAAACACGATCACACAATCATAGAAAATTCTCTTACAAAATAATATCTGCTAGACAATTAATATAATATCATTGTACAAGATTCTATGCAGTTTATAATGCATAATATGATCACTGTACAAGTTTTTCAAGGTTAGAACAAACCAAGTTTGAAAAATAACGATCCTTTCTTCTGTTCTCTCAAATTGCACTTTTAAGGCTTGTGTAAAAGTAATCTTACTTGTATGCCAGTATAGCACAAATATGCAACTCAGCTTCATGGAAAAATGAAAAATATTGACCGAAGCATTAGAGATAATCATCCAAAATTAACAGCCATTAAATACAAAGATGGAAAGTGTATTAATTGCATATAGTGAAGATCTGGTTATCCACAAATTTCTGCAATCCCATTCCCCATGACAATAAAGCTACAGTAAATAGGCATCCTTAACTGGTAGCAAAAAAAGGGCATCCTTAAGTACCCCTAAAGCTGAAAAGAACCTGAGAAACACTAAGTGAGAACCAAACCAATCAAATTTACCTTACAGAAATATATTTTTCAACCACTTTCATCTGTTCATCATCATAAGCAAGCCACTTTTCTTTAAGTGCAGCAGAATCCAGGTTTCCAATATCTGAACATGAAAATAAATGAGAGAAAGAAGTGGCAACCCAAAGCCATAAACTACTATAAACATTAACAACTGCAGTTGACAGACCTTGTAGTAAAAGGTTCGGTTCATCAGAATAGCCTTTTAATCTCCAAAGCACATGACCTTTTTCATTCCAAAAAATAGGCTGTGTCCTAACAGCATCTGGTATTTGTTTCTCTGAAAATTGTAGAAGGTTCAATAAATTACTCTTCAGGGAGAACTTTGTTATAATTATGAGGACCCTAGAAAAACATTTCAGATAAATATAGCATCCAAACAAATTTCCCACTGCTAGAAAGTTTGTTAGAATGAGACAAGTTAGCTCACACCATGACAGCCCACTCCTGGTTAATGCAGCAGGTTTACAATTTAAAATGTGTATTTGTATTTTAAAATCAAATGCTAAATAAAAGTTAGGTAAATGCTATGGTTCAGAAACTGCACCATGAAGCAAAAACACAAACCAATGAAAACTAAGGCGTCACATGTGACATCTTGAACATTTTTTAACATCTATGACACAAAGTCACAAACCAATGAAAAGGTAAGCAGACGTGAAATCTTTAACATGATTGTTTCACGTTTTTGCTGCACGATGTAGTTTCTGCACTGTAGTTAAACTCTAGAAGATATTAGCTATGCATGAAAATAAGGGCAAGAAGTGAACAAATTATCCAATGAACAAACAGTACATACTATTGGATACCATCTTCATTGCTTCCAGTGTCTCAGAATGAGCTTTCGCTACTTCAATTCTCATATTTGCAACAATATCATCATGCTCAGAAATAGAAATAGGAGCACCATTTTTCAAGAGAATAGCTTTTGTTATCTCATCCCGTAACTTTTGCTTCATGCCTTTCTCCTATTTAACACAAATAAAAAGAGAAAACCACTTTAAGAATGCTTGTTAAAGATAAAAATACCATATACTCTCAGAAGCAGTTACCTTATTCTTGGCAGCAATAACTTTCTCCTTTGCTTCCTTCTCGCTTTCAATAAATTTTGAATTTTGTTCATCAATCCAACTCCTTACTTCTCTGAGATGCAAAATAACAAAATCATATATGAAATTCCTGCCGAGGAGAGGGGGGACTGTAGGTCCACGAAACTTATCACTTACACAGTTTCAAGAACTTCATCGCATAGAAAATTCAATACTCTCAACTTTTCCGAGGCATCTAACTTATCATATCCATCACCACCTCTGTCAAAACAATCTGAAGGGAAACACTTCAATGCACACTGGGAATCAGAAATGCATTTAGCAAGAGCTTTCAACCAAGAATCTCCACTACTTGTTGGACTTAAGAGGGACCTGTCAACAAAAATAATACAGGTAATTGACTCATCTCTTAAAATGATATGCAAAACTTGTGCCTTCATGAAATCATTTCAGGAAAACTACATACTCTTCTCCTGCATCTTTAAGTATCAAAGAGAGCAATTGGATGTGAAACCGAACAATTGAAGAGTACATTCCTCCACGCCCACTGCGCCCACGCATTAGTTCTCGAAGAATAGACTCAGCCTGCCCTTTCTTCAGATCAAGAACCTAAAGAGAAATAAAAACAACTCAGAAGATAAAACTGCAATGAAATAGATAATAGTAACATGAAACAAGAAAAAGAACTGAGAGTGCAAATTAAGCAACTTGATCTGAACTAAGCATGAAGCAGTTATCATAGAATGAAATAAGAAAAGTCCAAAGCTTAATAACTTCATGGTGCAATTGAGAACAATGCAAAATATGAGCCTTGCTTGTTATATAGCTAGAAGACCACCAAGTTAAATGGCAGTTGGAAGCAAGCACAGTTAAAAGTGCACAAGTACATATTTATGGTAAAAACCCAAGCTTCAACTGTCATTTAACTGGGTTCACTGCCTAGAGTCAGTAATTCATCTTTTTTATTTCAATGCCATGCACGGGTTTGATATGATATGAGTTCCCTCTCAAACCAAATTTGTGTTTACCTGTTCAAAAGCTGCACAGAATTCTAGAAACTGCAAAGCATGTCCAACATCCTCAGGAGGCAGATCAATGCCAGCTACAGTTGTCACATCAACACCATTAGGCAATGGGATATCAGCATCAGCATCAGCATCATCTTTGTGGAATATTTTAGCTTTATTCTTGAGTTTTCGAGATTCAGGTAGCATCTTAGGCTTAATTCTTACATTATCAGCAATTCCAACATTTGCAATTTCCGTCTTATTGCAAACTGGCAATGAAACATCTCTTTTATCTGTCTTCTCTTCCTTCACAACAGGTTGTGGAGGGCCCTGATAACACTTCAGCACTTGAAAATTCTTTTTCTCATGCAACTGATTTTCTTCACTATCACTTCCAGTTTTTCCTTCTATCTTGATTGGAGTGATAGATACTTCCTTGGAAACTCGAGATTTCTTACTGATCTTCTCTTCAGCAGGAGCAACATCATCCCTGACTTCATCATGCATATTGTCACTGCTGTCATTCTGTGACATATTTTTTCGTTTGTTTTTCCCTATTTCCTTTTCATTACCATCTGATGTCAAAGGGGTAGGTTGCAAGTTCAAATCAAATTTTCCAACAAAATTATTTTCCTTCCCCACATTTTTTGGTGAAGTTACATCAGTTTCCTATCAAAAAAGAGTATGGGCTTATCACCAAATTTACAGACCAAAAATTCCAGAAGCAAATTTTAAATCAGCCAATGCATGGGAAATGGGTTACCATCAGTACCTTGTTTGCAGCGTCCTGCTTCTTTGGAGAGGCAACCACATTTTTAAGGATCTTCTCAGAGACCAAGTTTTCAGGGCCTTTCACTTTCAGCATTTCCGAAACAGAAGAAAACCCGGTTGCCTTGGCTGTGTGCACAAGGATCCCAGTAGGTTGGTGGCCCCTTTTCTTCCTGCAAAAGCATACTATCGATCCATCAAGAAGCATTGACATACTAAACAGGAAAAACCAATTTTGGGAATCTCAGCCTTGGAAAAATAACAAACACTTACATGCAGAAACTGCAGTTGCAAATGCCTCTGCACTTGGGACACTTCCATTCATCCAACACCTCCATCTCTTCTGCCTTCTCTCCATATCTAAAATATCAAGATAGACGGTAGACCAGGTTAAGTGGGGAAGTAAAAAAAAAATATCCGGTGAACCATAAGCAATAGTAGGTATGTATGTTGTTACCTGTTCAAGAGGCATTTGTGACAGAACTTAATGGTGCACGGCTTGTTCTCTCTTTTATTCTTGCAAGAGGCCACGAAGTCCATAGTCTTCTGCCGACACTGCAACCATCTTTCACTTGTCAAAATTTGATCAATGAAACGAGACCATCTTCCTTACTGGTATTTCTGGGTAATTCGACCTCACCTGGTGACAAGACTTCCCGTTCTCGGAATCGTAAAGTCGACCGTGGAGGAGACGAACGCCAGGGGATTTCGTGCGCTTCGACGGTGAAGAAGAGGGAGGTTGAGGATATGATAGTTGCTCTTGCTGTTGCTGGTCACCGGCCCACCGTGCCACCTTCTTCTTGACCTCGCTGTTGGTAGAAACTATGGGTTTGGAAGTAGAGGTCTGGGAGACCGCCATGGCCATTGACCAGAGTTGAACCGAACCGACAAGTGAAACGAACTGAAAGGGGGGAAAACGGTTTCGGTTATTCTCTGTGTCGAGATTATGAGATAATTTGATTTGAAAAAAAAAATCACAGAGTTTTCATGCGTGTGGATTGGCGGGAGAAGGGAAAATTAAAGAGGAAAGCAGATGGGGGTTTGATTCTGTCTGTACTTTGGAGGAGTTTCTGGGGCGTCAAGACAACAATGTTGATTTGGGGGGGATTGATTTCAGAATTCAGATTTGGGGGTTCCTAATCCCATATCCCATTCCCTTTTCTTTCAGTTATCGGTTTTTGGAGTTTAAACTAAAAACAAAATGAATTGGACCATCTGCTGCCTTACTGCGTATAAGACGTGGAATATCAAATTTCTTTTTTTACTTTTAAAACGTTGAAACGTCAAACGTCAACCTTCCGAATTGGGATCTGCTCCTCACACAGGGCGCCTCACAACAATCTCAAAGGCATTCTTTCCCAATGCACGGTGTGAGGCGCCATGTGTGAGGAATAGATCCGGTCCCAACCTTCCTCATTACACCACACCTGCCATTTGTCAAGTTGCCTATCAAACAACCAACATGAAGGAAGCTACCAGGAAGCTCAGATATGCCATCAACACTGTTCTAACAAGTTATTACAATCGTACATTGGGAACATCTCTTCAAATCAATTGTAAGCGTTCTGTTGTTGGTAGTAGATTACCAGCTACGGAAATCAGGAAATTAGGTTTTAGGTTTTTTCCCTTTTTTTGTGTGTTTATAAGGTCGTTAAGGGTTGAACATGTTATGTGAAGAGTCCGGATCTGCTCCTCAGAGAGTGTGCCTCACAGTATGTCCTGGCCACACATCGGGAACATCTCCAGTAGAGGGTGGAGATGTGGCTTTGAGGTCGGTGTAAGGGGTGCTCTATGAGGAGCAGATCTCAATTCTTCTGTGAAGCATCGAACATATATAATTCAATATGGCAATGTGCTAACTAGATGCCTAAGTGGGAGACATGTTGGACTAGAGGTGTTTGACAGAGAATCCAGATTGGCTCCTCACTGAGCGCATCCCATGCATATATGCATGGCTGCTGCTCATGGTACATTTAATCCCAAGTACATCTGGGCTAACAAAAAACAAGTTTCTGAAGGAAATAGGGTATAAATTAATCCCAAGTGAGTTCACTTGGACAAATAAAAGGGAAGGTAAAGAAAATGTGCAGGAAGGAATATACATGGCCCTAGGCCCTAGCTAATGTTGAATGGCTTGATTTGTTTCAAGAAGCAAGAGTCAAGCACCTTTCTATGGGAGGTTCAATCATATTTCTATAGCCTTGGATTCCTCTCTTGGATTGCACTTATGAGGACTGTCAAAAAGTAATCAAGCAAATTTGGGAGTAGAATAATGAAGGGGAGGGTCAGAGTGTGGTGTTAAACAATTGTAAAAAGCTTATGATAGAATTGTCTAAATGGAATAAACAAGTTTTTGGTAAAGTTCAAGATAAAATCAAGGCTTTACAGATGGAATTAAGTTGGGAAAGAAGTAGTCCTGCATGCTCATTCAATTAGTCAAAGGTTAAGCAGATGGAGCAACAGTTAGATGAGGGAGCTGAAGATAGAAGAATTTTATGGGCCTAGAAATCAAGACAAAATTGGCTAAAATTAGGAGATAAGAATACTAGGTTCTTTCACCAAGCTACTTTGAGGAGGAGAGCAAGGAATTGAATATTTTCATTAAAAGGTGACAATGGGATATGGGTTTCAGGTCAGGATCAGATTAGTAAAATCTTAGTTAACTTGTTTTGAGGGCCTATTTAGGTCTTCTAACCCAGGGGTGAATCAAGAAATTCTAAGGCATGCCAACACAGTGGTTAACCAAGAGGATAACAATTGGCTCCAAAGAGATGTAGATGAGGCATAAATAAAAGAGGCCTTATTTCAGATGTATCCTCATAAGGCCCCAGGCCCGGATGGATACCTAAACTCTTTTTTTCCAAAAATATTGGGATATAATTGGGCCAAGCTTTGTTAAGGCAGTGTTAGAGTTTTTTCAGCATGGTGTCTTCCATAAAGACACTAACAAGACCTTCATAGTCCTCATCCCAAAGTGCAGAAACCCTGAAGATGCAATCCAATTTCAACCTATAAGCTTGTTCAATACTTTGTCCAAAACAATAGCCAAGCTTATGGTAAACATGCTCGAGCCCATTCTTTCAAAAATTATAAGTAAAAACCAGAATGCTTTTGTTCCTAGAAGAATGATTTTTGACAGTGTGTTAATTTCCCATGAATTAATACATTTTATGAAGTCTACAAAACATAAACAGAAATTTATGGGTGGAATGGGAGTTTGTGAAAAATACTTTTGGGTAGAATGGGGTTTGGTGTTAAATTCATTAGTTGGGATATGTAATGTACTTCCTCAGTCTCCTACTAGTTGCTTATAAAGGGGATCCCTCTTCCCCATACTTGTGCCTCATCATCTTTGAAGTCCTTTCTTTGGCTCTCCATCACGAGCACTCTGTAGGGGCTATTTTTGGAATTAAGATAAATCACAACAGTCCTGCTATTATTCATTTGTTTTTTTGCAGATAACTCCTATATTATCTCAAGAGCCAACATTGCGGAAGTAGGTGCGATAATGGACACTCTGAAGCAGTATAGGGAGGCCTTCGATCATAAAGTGAATTTCTCTAAATCTGAAATCTTTTTTAGCCCAAATTTACACCAAAATTTTCAAAAATCCTGACAAGTCGTGGGCATTAAAAAAGTAGAGAACCCTTCTAAGTATTTATGTGGGAAAATGGATAACAGATCCAATGGGTGGAAGACTACTTTTTTATCCTCTGCAGGGAAGGAGGTTTTGTTAAAAGCTATGCTGACTGCCATTCCTTCTATTGCAATGTCATGTTTCATGATACCAAAATCCATCTGCAATCAATTAAAAAGAACCCAAAAATATTTTATGTGGGGAAGCTCAAAAAAGAAGGTGAACTGGATTAGTTGGTCCAAGATGTGTCAAAGTAATCCTTGGGTGGGCTAGGTTTTAGAGGCCCCCATCTGTTTTACCTGACCTTGTTGGCTGAGTTAGCATGGAGGTTTTGCATAGAGAAAGATAGTTTTTGGGTGAAATTAGTGCAAGGTAGGTATTTGAAACGTAGGAGCTTTTGGAATATTGCTGCTCCCATTAAAGTGCTCTTGGGGATTTAGAAGTCTTTTAGCAGGAAAGAACATCTTAAAGGAAGGGGCTTGTTGGAGCATAGCCAAAGAGGAAAACATTCAGATTTTGGATGATCCATGGATCCTGGGTCTCCAAATTTTAAACCTTTGGGTCCTAGACTCAGAAATGGATATGTCAATAGGGTCAATGATCTTATTAACTCCCAATGAAACTGCTGGGATATGAGGAAAATTCAGAGTTTGTTGATCAGGCCATTTCCAACATTATTAGTAAGATGGACCTTCCAAGATTGGGAAGGGAAGACAAATTGATCTGGACCCCAAATTCCAAAGGCAGATTCTCTGCAAAATCTGCATACCAAGTGGGTTGTTAGATCTAAAGATGAGGAACTTGGTACTCTTGGCTCGTATACCTTGACCCCCTCACTTTGGAAGAAAACTTGGGCTTTAAAAGGTCCCTCCAAAGTTAAAACATTTCATATGGAAATGTTGGTATAATAGTATAGCAGCAAAGCAAGTACTTTTGAGAAGAAAAATTTTAAATAATGCAATCTGTACCTTATGTCAGAGAGAGGAGGAGCATACTGCATGCTCTCTTGTTGTGTGACCATGTGAGGGCAACATGGTTTGGAAGTTCCCTGAGTGTTGTTTGTTCAAATTTTGAGTCCTTTGGTTCTTTTGCAAAATGGTGGTCTTGGTGGTCGAATCAGAAGGATTTGCTTACTAAATGCCATGATTATGCTTTTGAATTATCTGTTATTATATTGTGGTCTATTTGGAAGGCAAGAAATGGCTTCATTTTTGAAGATATCCAACATAATCCGTATGTTTCATTATTTCATGTGAACAGACGGGTGAGGCAAGTGTGGAAAGCTTCCCACCAAGAATCAATGGATTCTTCTCCGAATGATGCCCCAGCTGTAAAAAAAAAAAAAAAACTTTTTGGTTTCTAGTTTAAACCCTCTGTGTTGTAAAGCTAGAACAGATGGGAGTTTGTGTTCCTCTAAATCCAATGAATTTGGCTTTTGGATTGTTGATGTTTCTAGGTCTTTTTTGGTTGCTAAATGTGGAGGTTGTAGAGGTGTTTCTGCTGAATATGTTGAATCGATAGCTATTTTGGAATGTTGTTGTACTGCTAAAGAATTGGGTTTATCTTTTCTAAGTATAAAGAACGACTCTCTTAATTTGGTTACTGTGTTAAATCAGAAATCTTATCCTTGCTCTCCTGTAGTCTGGACTCTGTTGCAGGATCTGTACTCCCTCTTTGATTTCTCCGTGACCTTCAGGTTTATTAGTAGGTCAATTGATGGTGCAGCTCACAAGATGGCCTCTAAATGAAGTTTGGGTAGGTCAATTAAGCACTTGTTTTTCAAATAAGCACTCCAAACCTCGGCATAAGCATCATCCCTAGAATCATATATATAGGACTAGCAGGGTATCCTGCTTAGTTTTAAAGTCTATATATAAAAATTTATTTAAGAAAAAAAAAAGTCTATATATAAATAGGCTGGCATCATCAGGGCCATTAAGCAAGGGCTACCAGGTCAGTATGTCCAAATTTAAGGGCCTGTTTGGAAGGGCTGAGCTGAAAATTCAGTTAAATTCGTTCAATTGCTTTGAGAGCTGTCTGGATAAGCTATTCAAAGAGGCTGAAACTGGCTGTCAATTTGGACACTCTGGATTTTTATGAAATATAAAGCTTATAGGCTGTCAGTATGGGGACCACCTCAGCAATACAGAACAGAAGCCTCTGTGCTTCAGCTGGTGGAGGTTTGTGAATTGTGACTTCTGAGGGCTTTCATGTAGTAATGCGTGGCTTTACAAGGTGGGCCCTACCTGAACAGCCTATGGTAAGCCCAAAATATGACCTTCCACTGAAGTTTCTTTTAGTGGTGGCTTCTCTGTCTATAGCAGCTCAATCAAAGCTTTCAGCCGTTCCAACTCCCAAATGGGCTCTATATATGCACTTCTGCAAAATGCCTAAACCTTCAACTCGATGAGCCCATGTAACATGCGTTTTGGGTTTTCGGTTGAAGAAAGTGATGTCTCCGTGCCTGAATCGGCTGGGCCAACCTTAGCCCATTTAGTTTGGAGTCATGTATGCTTATTGCTTAGGCTGAGTAGC